TCTGTAACATTACTGTCGGTTGGAGGAATGAGCGGGCAGCAGCCGGAACATGACATATACCAAGGGATAGTCCCAAGTCGCAAAGTAAAGGCAGATTCTCAGGGGCCAGCAGGAGACCAGCTGGGTAAGGCGTTGGACTCCCATGTGGCCGACCCCAGCACGAGTCCCGGACCCGGCAGCTCGCCTACTCACTCTCCTTTTCTCTCTGTGTGTCTCTGCTGAGCTCATGTGTCCTTATAGCAAGCTAAATAATAATAATAATAAGTAAAGTTAAATAAATAATCCTTTAAAAGAAAGAAGGAGACAGAAAGAAAAGGCAGGCTCTCCAGTTAGGAAGTGGCCGCAGCCTGGAGGAAGACATGGTGCCTCAGGGAACACACGAGGGTCCGGGTGCTCTGGAAGTCAGTCACACCCCAGCAACGCCCAAGCAGCAGAGACCACAGAAACGAGCTGAGGGGCTGCCAGGCACAGGGCTGAGAGCGCCACCAAAGACATGGAGGACTATGCAGGACCACCTGCTGGCGACACAGCAACTCTGCAACCTGGGCCCAGATGGGAAGGCCCGGGCCCTCTCCCACTGCCTCTCCATGCACCCGTGTGCCCGCAGTCCTGGAGGGCTGGGGGTGGGTCGGGCATAAAGACCCTGTGTAAGGGTCTCTCTCTCTCTCTCTCTCTCCTTCTCTCTCTCAGAGGAAATAAACAAACTTAAAAAAATAATAAAATAGGGACGAGTAGGTGACATGGTGGTTAAGGGCACTGGACTCCCACATGGCAGACTGCATTTTGAATCCTAGACCTGGTGGCTTGTTTTCTCACTTTCACTCTCTCTCTCACTCTGTCTCCCTCTGGTGAAATGAACATAACTAAAGTTAAATAAAGTAACTTTTTAAAAATAAAAAATACAGGTACAGGCCGGCGGGTGGCATGGTGGTGAAGGCACTGAATTCCCATATGGCCGGCCACGGTTCAAGTCCTAGACCCGGTGGCCTGAAAATCTTGTGGGATGCATGTGAGTGCATGTCCCAAACCCCAGGAGAACAGCAGAGAAGGGACTGTGGCACGGCCACCCACCTTGAGGAGGGGCGATTTCGTGCTTTCCCTCTTTCTATCTCTGTCCCTCTCCAGCTAGGATGCACGGTGTGGCAAAACACAACGACAAAAAGAGAGGAATGAGCAGCAGACGATGCTCGGCTTAGATGGGGTTATGTCCCAATAAACCCACCGTAAATTGAAGGTACCCTAAGGCGATGCATGTAAATGCACTCAACACCCTTAATCTGCCACCACAGCCTAGCCCCTCGGACCCGCTCAGGACCCTTACCCTAGCCCGTGACTGGGCCCAAGCACCTCCGCAGCCAAAAGCCCATGTAACTCACTGAGTACTACAGGGTTGTCGGGAAAGTCATGGCGCATTTTTGCATAGAAAACACGCCATGACTTCCCCGACGACCTAGTACACGCATGTGAAAAACAAAATGGTTGCACGAGACGCGAAGTGTGGTTTCCACCGAATGCACGGCACTCCACACCGTCGTGAAGTCAGAGGGTCACACGTCAGTCCCTCCTATGTGGAGGGCCACCTGCACTTCTGCCCACGTGCGGGTACGAGCTCAGGGAAGGAGGTTGTGCGGGGGACCTGTCTGGCCCCTTCTCATTTTGAGGTTGTGGTTGCCGAAACCCAGAAAGCCTTGCAAAGAGGGCGTAAGCCACGGCAGGGACTGTGGACCGCCGTGAGACCACGACCGATGCTTGTCCTCAGTGTCCCTCAGGAGCCCCTGTCTCCATATCTGCTTGGTCTGAATTGATAGCTGAATTATTGGTTGGGTTTTAGTTAACAATGGGTACAAAAACTGGGATCTAGGGCAGCACTGATGAGATTTAATCATCTAAAGAGATAAGGATTAGAGAGGTCACACCCTCTCACCCACGACTAAATCCTGTTTCTTTTTTCTTTTTTTTTTTTTAGGTTTTTGCTATAGGGCGCATGCGCTCCCTGAGACAGAGAGACAGTGAGAGGGGAAGTGAGAGATTACCCCCTGTGTGTGTGGGGGGGGCACGCCTCAATACCTTCTCCTCCATTCACCTCCTGGGATTTGGGGCTTACATGTACACACATGCAGCTGGCATGAGTTTCAAGCCACTGGATCCCAGACTTAAACCGAGGTTGGCCACGAGGAGTCCAGCACCTTAACCACCACGCCACCTGCTGGCCCCCAACCCCTTTTTGGGGGGTGGGTTACACCTGCCTTCGGCACCAACACGTCTGTGGAGGGGGGAGCCCGTTCCACGACTGTACACTTCTAATCACGGAAAGTCCTGAGCTGAGCTGAAACCCTTCCCACCTAAAGCCCACCCCTCTGGTCTTCAGACATTTAAAGAGGGCTGACAGTCACCCTAAACTTTCTCCTTAAGTTTTGGGGGTTGTTTTGTTTAGTTTTGCCACAGGGTGTGTGCATCTGCCAGGACAGACAATGAGAGGGAAAGTGAGTAAATCACGGGTGTGTGTGTGTGTGTGTGTGTGGCCACCCCACAATCCCTTCTCCTCCATTCTCTTCTTGGGATTTGGGGAACACACGCACACATGCACATCATGATTTCCAAGTCGCTGGGTCTAGGACTCAAACTGCAGTCAGCCATGTGGGAGTTCAGTGCCTTAACCACTATGCCAAATGCTGGTCTAGTCACCCTAAACCTCCTCTTTTCCATGCTAAACCTCTTTCCTTCAGCCAATCCTTATAACAAGGGAGTGATCATCCAGATTGTTCTTTTCTAAAAAAAGAGTTATTTCATTTTATTTATTTGTTTGTTTATTTAAATTTGACCGGAGAGGGACAGAGTGAGAGAGCGAGAGAGACGGAAAGTGAGAAAAGCAAGCCGCCAGGTCCAGGACTCAAACCACGGTCTCCAGTGCCCTTAACCACCACGCCACCTGCCGGCCCCCAGATGGTTCTTTTCTAGACTCTAGTGTATGAACATCCATTTCCAAAGACCTGCGTGTAATACACCAGATACAAATGAACCAGCACAGGCTACAGTGAGACCTTCGTATTAACCCACCCACCACACTTCAGTTGACAAGTGTTAAGACTCTGAATGCTCATTTGGTAGCCGAGTCATAATAATGGCTTATGTTTGGCTAGTAAGTAAAAGCCTCAGCTCTTTTTTTGGAGAAGTTTTTGCTATACGTCGCGTGTGCTAGCCAGAAAGACAGAGAGAGACAGAGAGACAGAAAGCGAGAAATCACCCCCCAGAGAGGATGGCCACGCCGCAATCCCTTCTCCCCCATTCTCCTTTCGAGATCTTGGGCACGCACACACACACGCACCAGGCGTGAGTTTAAGCCACCGGGTCCAGGACTCGAACCACGGTCGACTACATGGGAGTCCAGGGACATAGCCATTATGCTAACTGCTGGTCCCGAATCCTCAACTCTTTTGCACATGAAATCTCACCAAATTAGGCTTCCTATGCACTCATGCGCTTACAAAAAAAAAAAATTCTTTTTTAGTACATATAAAAATATAGTATCATATTTATTTTTTTTTTCTTCAAGCTGCTGGGTCCAGGACTCGAACCACACAGCCAGCACTGTGAGATCCTGCTGCCTTAACCACCATGCCACTGGCTGTTCCCATATTTCCCTTAAAAAAAAAAACAACTTCGTTTCTACTCACTGTTCTATTAGAAATACTAAATCTTGACGCTATCATCCTTCTTACTCTACTTCCCAGCTGAGTCCAACAGATATTTCATAAATGCAGTAGAAGCAGCTCCTGCCTTTTCATCCAGGTTGTTGGTAAGAGGTAAACAGAGGCAGGCGGTAGCAGAGCCCCTGCCGCAGTCTGGCGAGGCCTCCTTCCAGGTAACACCAGTGCGGCTGCTCCCTGGGCTAGATAGAAGCTGAACTTGGCGCAACACCCCTGCATACATCCGCATTTCCCACCTGGCCTCTACCCTTCCATAGGCAGCGGAGAGTTCCGGGGCCTCCGTATTCTCATCGCCTCTGAGACAGCCGCCCGCACGAGCATCCAGCACTGAAGATGCGCTCCAGGCTGTGGCCGCAGCCGCAGTTCGCACTCACGCCGCCCAGGCCACCCACGTCCTCGGGCAGAGATACCCGCCCTGCCAGGCGCACAGTGCCCCGCCCAGCCCACAGGGCGGACTCAGCCCTGGGCCCCCCAGGGCCTCCACCCGCTCAGGTCCATCCCGGCAGAGGGCTGCTCCCGCCCTGCCCGCCATGCTCCATCTCCACCGCCAGGCCCGCACTCTGCGCGCCCCGCGCTCCTGGCCCATCTTACCTCTCCTCCCGCACTCGGGGGCTCAGGAACCTGCTAGGGTCGTCGTCGTGGCTGCTCTGCTGGCTGCTGGGGAAACACAGGATATGGCCGTTAGCTCTTACTCAACTCCGCGGGCCCAAGAACGGCCCTTACAAAACCTGGACGGCGCCAGTTCCCATGTGAGTTAGAGCGCAGCCGCCCAGGACTAGGAAGCTGGGGCCCCCGCCCAGCCACAGCAGCAGGAAGGTCCTGCCCCTACTCTATCCCCCGGCTGTGGACACACCTCAGGGAGCCACGCCTCCTGCACCCTGCGGGTCCTCCTGATCTCTCCGATGGATCATTGTTTCGTTCTTTTTTTGTTCATTTTTGTTGTTGTTGTTATAGGGTGCATGTGCTCACCAGAGACAGAGACAGAGAGACAGAAAGCGAGAAATCACCCCCCAGGGGGGATGGCCATGCCTCAATCCCTTCTCCTCCATTCTGCTCATGGGATTCGGGGCATGCATGCACACGCAACTGGCATGAGTTACAAGTCCCAGGGTCTGGGACTCAAACTGCATTCAGCCATGTGGGGGAGTTCAGCAAAGTAACCATTACACCATCTCCTGGTCCCTTTCATTTTATTTTTTACATCCAATCACCGTGAATCATTATAGCATACAAAATTAATTTTCCCATGGTGAGTACACTGCAGCATCTACCCAAAGGACAGGAAAACGCTCAGGTGGAAAAACACTTGCACACAGGCTTACTGTGGCATTAATCACAACTGCAAAGACGCGGAGCCAACCCAAACACCCACAAACACATGAACGGATTAAAGACGTGAGGCACACATCCCCTACGGAACACTACTCAGCCATAGAAAACAGCCCTTGGGAACTGGTGTGGACTTGGGAAGGGGCGGGAGAATATGGGCAGAGGGGCCAGGAAGCAATTCCCATTTGACACTAGACTTGGCAGGTCAGGGTTTGGTCGCTGGTACGCTTCTCAGCCCCAGGGAAGGCTGAGGATGGAGGAGAGTGAAAAAAGGAATAAGGATCTCTGTCACTCCTTAAAGCCCCCTGGGGCGAGATGATTACAGAGCTTCGGTTCAGAGTTCTTTAAAGATGCCAAACATTATGGTGATGTGGAATAAAACTGCCTTTCATCTTTCTCCTGGAGGGATGCTCTGACAGCTCCTGGTACCAGTTGCCTGTGTGGCTGGTGAAGAGGTAATATTTACTAGTTAATAACTGATAACTCCTGGGGCCAGGAGGTGGCGGAGGTTAAGGCGACTGAATCCCCCATGGCCGACTGCGAGGTTCACACTGAACCAGGGGCTTGAACATCACACGGCGTGCGTGCCTGAAATCCTAGCAGAAGGATGGAGAAGAAATCGTAGCATGGCCATCCCCTTGGGGAGTTATTTTGCACTTCCCCTCTCTGTCTCTCTCCAGTGAGCATACATGCCCTATGGAAAATGAAAATAATAATGATTATTAACTACTCTGGGCATCTGATCAGGAGTCTGCCAACTCCAGCCCCAGGTCAAAGCCACAGTCATGTTTTTGTACAGTCCCTGAGCTAAGAATAGTTTTTCCATTTTTAAATGGTTGGGAGAAAAAAAAATCAAAGAAAAATATTTCCTGAGATGCGAAATGGTACGAAGTTCACACGTCACTGTCCTGCACGCGGCTGGACTGGAGCCCGGCCACGCCATAGCTCTGCGATCCTGGCTGCCTGGTGCCCGCTGCCAGGACCAGCACAGTCTGGGGGCAGCTCGGTCAGTCACGGCACTGACTGGCAGCCCACACGGCCTGCGGCACACCATCTGGCCCTTCCGGAAAGCCAGCTGACCCTGCCTTACGTAAGTCCTATCAATAATACATTCCTGGCCTGCCGAGCTGCGGTGCTGGTGGGCACGTGGCCTACTACAGACCGAATCTAGGTCGCCTGAAACATGCCAGACACCTAGTGAGGTCCCAAGACCCACCCAGCTGCCAGACAGAAGGAGGGGATCGCGGAGCGACCAGAACCCCATGGAGGGGTGCTCCTCTCTTTCCCATGCACTAACACAAACCAAGAAAAAAATTTAAATAGGATCAATTCCTATTAAAACGACTGTCACGGGAGCCAAGGAACGCCACCAAGATGGCTTCCTGCTTCCTGTGAGTTGCCGGTGGGGTGGGCCGATCTCCGCAGGTACAGCCTG